ATGGGCCCGCTGTGTGCAACCTCGTACCCAGGGTCTTTCCTCTTGGGAAGCAAAGACCCGGGTAGACGCTGGTCACATGATCGGCTAAAATCTAGCAGATTCCTAATTAACTATCTTTGTTTTCTTTACGACAATCATAGAAAATGCAAATTATAAATTAAACTATCAAAATAATCCAAATATCAAATGTTTATTGACCTGATCTTGGATTGCTAATTAAAACTCTGCTAGATTTTAGCAGATCGCGTGACTAGCGTCTACCAGGGTCTTTGCTCCCCAAGAGAAAAGCCCCTGGGTACGAGGTTGCGCTGTGTGTCCAACGTAGCTTTCTTTCTGCTAATTGTCTTCCTCCCCCCACCGTCCAAATTATAAATTTTGGGTTGGAAGCCAGCTGGCCCCTGCTTCCCACGCCTCTGCGGTAACTACCTTGCCTGGCCGAGTCTTCCAACAACTCAAATTCATAGGGTCTGGGATATGCAATCCACTGCAAGTCTGCAAAATGTTCACAATCTAATAAGGTACTTAGAAGACAATGCTTAGGATTGAAGATAAAAGACATTTTGATAAAATAATATTTCCATCCCCCCCCCCCTCAAGTTATACAGTTAAAAAATGACCTAGCTGATTTATTGTCTCGGTAGCTATGATGTTACAAAATGATAGCATAGCATTACGGTAGATCAGTGAAGATATGTCCTTCACTTGTCTCGACTTACAACAACGAGCAAATGCTCTAGTGGTAAATACTACAGGCTGGGTAATCTATCAATATGGTTCAAGTCCTACAGAAGTCATTTTGTGACTTGAAATGTATCAAATGTTAATTACACAAAGCTAGAGAAAAAATAAGGTGAACAAGTTGCGTTAGGTTTCCAACAACGAGTAAGTGGTATTGTGGTAAAGACTATAGGTTGTGTCATGTACCATTGTGATTCAAGTCCTTCAGAATTCATTTCGTGACTTGAAATGTGTCGAATATCAATTAAACAAGCCAGAGAAATTTGCTAAGGTGAATAAGTTCCTATAGGTTTAAAACAACGAGCAAATGGTGTAGTGGTAAATATTAAAGGCTGGATAATCTATGATTGTGGTTCAAGTCCTATAGAAATCGTTTTGTCACTGGAAATGTGTTGAATTTTAATTATGTAAGCTAGAGAAAAAAATAAGGTGAAGAAGGCTGGCGTTAGGTTTCCGAAAACGAGGTGGTCTAGTGGTAAACTAAACCACAGGTTGTGTCATGTACCATTGTTGTTCAAATCCTACAGAAGTCATTTTGTGACTTTCAATGTGTCGAATATAAATTGCACAAGCTAGAGAAAAAGGGTTAGGTGAATAAGTTCAGTAGCCTTGAAACAGCGAGCTATAGGTCTAGTGGTAAAGACTATAAGCTGTGTAATGTACCATTGTGGTTCAAGTCCTACGAAAGTCATTTTGTGACTTGAAATGTGTCAAATATTAATTGCACAACCTGGAGTAAACATTGTTAGGCGAATACGTTACGCTAAGCTTCCAACAACGACGAAGTGGTCTAGTGGTAAAGACCACAGGTTGTGTCATGTACCATTGTTGTTCAAGTCCTACCGAAGTCATTTTGTGACTTGCAATGTGTCGAATATTAATTGCCCAATCTAGAGAAAAAGGGTTAGGTGAATAATTTCAGTAGGCTTCCAAGAACGAGGAAGTGGTCTAGTGGTAAACACTACACTCTGTGCAATGTACTATTGTTATTCAAGTCCTGCAAAAATTTGTGACTTGCAATGTGTCGAATATTAATTAAACAAGCTAGAGAAAAAGGGGTTAGGTGAATAAATTGCGCAAGGCTTCCTACAAGGAGCAAGTTGTCTAGTGGTAAAGTCTACAAACTGTGTTATGTTCCATTGTAGTTCAAGTCTGACAGAAGTCATTTTGAGACTTGAAATGTATCGAATTTTAATTACACAAGCTAGAGAAAAAAATAAGGTGAATAAGTTGCGTTCGGTATCCAATAACGAGCAAGTGGTCTTGTGGTAAAGACTGCAGGTTGTGTCATGTACCATTGTGGTTTAAGTCCGACAAAAGCCATTTTGTGACTAGAAATGTGTCGAATATTAATTACACAAGCAAGAGAAAAACGGTTAATATGAATAAGTTGCGTTCGGTTTCCAAGAGCAAGTTACTGGCCTAGTGGTAAAGACTACAGGTTGTGTAATTTATCATTGTGGTTCAACTCTTACTGAAGTCATTTTGTTACTTGAAATGTGTCGAATATTAATTACACAAGCTCGAGAAAAAAGGTTAAGGTGAATAATTTGGGGTAGGCTTCCAACAACGAGCGAGTGGTCTAGTGGGAAAAGACTACAGGCTGCGTAATGTACCACCATGTTCCAAGTCCTACAGAAGTCATTTTGTGACTTAAAATGTGTCGTATATTAATTAACAAGCTAGAGAAAAAAGGTTAAGGTGCATAAGTTGCAGGCATTTTTGCAACAACGAGCAAGTGGTCTAGTGGTGGCGATATCAGACTGTAAAAGCCAATGTCGTGTATCAGGATCGGTTGGAGGACGAATGAAAGAATAATAAAATTAAAAAATTATGGCGGACGAAAGAAGAAGAATGGAAAAGAAAATGGCAGCCGAGCAAATGTTTGGAGAGGATACTAGAATTGAAATTAATCTTTAGTAGTTACCATGGTGTGGCGCATGCGCGGTAGACTTGACAGCGTGAAGTGGGAAGGCGGCAAAGGAGAAGAAGGGAGGAGGGCCGCCGGGGAGGGGCCGGGAGAAGAGGAAAAATTTTACTAAGTCTTTTTCCCTCACGCTTTGAGCAAGATACGGCAGGTTTTTCCTCAGAAGATTCGGGGAAACAGAACCACCGAATCCTGTCCCACTCCGCATATGACCGGTCAGATCGATTACCTGAGCACAAAGTCTCAGTCGGTCTTACCCGGACTCGATCCTTCCACCATAGCACCCAAAGGCTTTGAGTTGTACCGCTAGACTACTAGGTCTATTGGTGAAAGTTTAATGTTTCCTGTCATAGCTAATCCTTTTTCTCTACCCTATAATTAATTCATACCCGTAACAAAGACCAAAATGTCCTTATCAGAGCAGGAAACCAACCTGACTTCACCCACATGCAACATTTAGCCGAGACCACTAGACTGCCGTGCCCGTCACTTGTTCGCTGGTACTTTTAATTTAATTTAACGCTTTACTCTGAGATCGTGGAATCTCGCAATTTTATTGCGACACAAGTTCACGCGAAATTGCAAGGTGCATCATGTCCCGCAATCAACAAGTTTCGCAATATTATTGTTGCAACCATTGCACGTAGTACTAGAGTCAGCTTCCACTTTTTGCAAAGATTGCAGAAACGCTGGAACGCGGCCGAAACGCTTTTAAAAGCATTGCAGTGTATAACATCTCTCTTACAATTAGTCTCACAATGTTTATATACTGAATAGCTTCCTGATGGGCTTTGACTGTCATTCTGGCGCCAAACGTTCCCATTCGCTGTTTTTATACAAAGCAAGTTGCTACACGTTTGGAGACAAGTTACTTGGTGTAACAGCGTAATGAATGTTGAGTTCAACAGGAATCAATCCATAGTTTACGAGCATACGACACTGTGTTGAGTCCAGTACACTATCTTGACTGTTGGTTTTTCAGCTGTACTTTCTGTACAGGTGAGGAACCAACAGTCAAGATAGTGTACTGGATTCAACACAGTATCGTATACTTGGAAACTATGGATCGATCCCTGCTGAGCTCAACATTGATATTTGGCCGCGTATACACTATGACGCTACGGCAAATTTACCGTAGAGTATTAATTTGGATCCGACGTGGCAAATGTAGTGGTCTGCAGTTAATACGCTACGGCAAACCACTCCGTTACGGTGTGAGCACAACATTGTCTCAGCGCTAGAAACGTAGTAAATATTTAACAGAGTGTTAGACTCGGCCTTAGTGTTTGACCGCTCTATCATTAATTCCATAAAGGGTTAAATAAAATCAAAAGTAACAGCTAACAAAGCTAACAAGCAACGGGCACGATGGTTTAGTGGTCTTGGCTAACTGTCGCATGTCGATGAAGTCAGGTTCGTTTCCTGCCCTGACAAGGACATTTTGGTCTTTGTCACGGGTATGAATTAATTATAGGGCAGAGAAAAAGGATTAGCTATGATAGAAAACATTAAGCTTTCACCAATAGACCTAGTAGTCTAGGGGTACCACTCAAAGCCTTCAAATTCTATGCTGGAAGGATAGAATCCGGGTAAGACCGGCTGAGACTTTGTGCTCAGCGATCTGACCGGCCGTATGCGGAGTGGGACACAATTTGGGTGTTCTGTTTCCACGAAAGTTATGTGAAAAAACCCGGGCGTATCTTGCTCAAAGCGTCAAGGAAAAAGACTTAGTAAAATTTCTCCCCTCCTCGGGGGCCCTTCTTCTGCTTTGCCCACTTCACCTTCATATAAGTCTACCGCGCATGCGCCACAGCATGGTAACTACTAAAGATTAATTTCAATAACCTCTCCATACATTTGCACGGCCGCCATTTTCTTTTCCATTCTTCTACTTTCGTCCGCCATTTTTTTATTATTTTTTCATTCGTCCTCGAACCGATCCTGATACACGACATTGGCTTTTACAGTCCGATATCGCCACCACTAGACCATTTGCTTGTTGTTGCAAAACTACCGCAACTTATGCACCTTAACCTTTTTTCTCTAGCTTGTTAATTAATATTCGACACATTTCAAGCCACAAAATGATGTCTGTTGGACTTGAACAATGGTGATAAATTACACTAACTCTAGTATTTCCCGCTAGACCACTTGATCGTTCTTGAAAGCCTAACGCAACTTATTCACCTTATTTTTTCTCCAGCTTGTGTAACTAAAATTCGACACATCTCAAGTAACAAAATGACTTTAGTAGGACTTGATACACATTGACAAATTGCACAACCTGTACACTTTACCACTAGGCCACTAGCTTGCTCTTGGAACCCGAACGCAACTAATTCACATTAACCGTTTTCCTCTTGCTTGGTTCCTCAGTCTGAGGAACCTTGTTCTCAGAGTGAGGAATCTTGTCCTCAGTGTGAGGAACCTCGTCCCCAGAGTGAGGCACCTTGTCCTCAGAGTGAGGAACTTTGGCCTCAGAGTGAGGAACCTTGTCCTCAGAGTGAGCAACCTTGTCGTCAGAATGAGGAACTTTCTCCTCAGTTGAGGAGCCTTGTCCTCAGAGTGGGGAACCTTCTCCTCAGAGTGAGCAACTTTGTCCTCAGAGTGAGGAGCCTTGTCCTCGTAGGCTTGTCCTCAGTGTGAGGAACGTTTTCCTCAGAGTGAGGAACCTTGTCCTCAGTGTGAGGAAGCTCAGAGTGAGGACTTTTATCCTCAGATTGAGGAACCTTGTCTTCAGTGTGAGGAACCTGCCTCCAGAGTGAGGAACCTTGTCCTCAGAGCGAGGAACCTTGTCCTCGGAGTGAAGAACATTGTCCTCAGAGTGAGGAACCTTTTCCTCAGAGTGAGGAACCTTCTCCTCAGAGAGAGGAACCTTGTCCTCAGTCTGAGGAACCTGCCTTCAGAGGAAGGAACCTTGTCCGCAGAGTGAGCAACATTGTCCTCAGAGTGAGGACACTATCTTCAGTGTGAGGAACCTTGTCCTCAGAGTGAGGAACTTTGTCCTCAGAGTTAGCAACCTTGTTCTCAAAGTGAGGAACCTTGTTCTCAGTGTGAGGAACCATCTCCTCATTGTGAGGAACCTTGTCCTCAGATTGTGGAACCCTTGTTCTCAGAGTGAAGACCCTTGTTCTCAGAGTGAGGAACCTTATTTTCAGAGTGAGGAACCTTGTCCTTATTGTGAGGAACTTTGTCCTCAGTGTGAGGAACCTTGTTCTCAGAGTGAGGAACCTTCTCCTCAGTCTGAGGAAACTTGTCCTCAGTGTGAAGAACCTTGTCCTCAGAGTGAGGAACCTTGTCCTCAGTGTGAGGAAACTTGTCCGCAGAGTGAGGAACCTTGTCCTCATAATGACGAACCTTGTTCTCAGCGTGAGGAACCTTGTCCTCACTGTGAAGCACGTCGTCCTCAGAGTGAGGAACCTTGTCCTCACAGTGATGAACCTTGTCCTCAGATTGAGGAACCTGCTTTCAGAGTGAGGAAACTTGTCCTCAGTCTGAGGAACCTGCCTTCAGAGGACGGAACCTTGTCCGCAGAGTGAGGAACCTTGTCCTCAGAGTGAAGAACCTTGTCCTCAGAGTGAGGAACCTTGTCCTCAGTGTGAGAAACCTTGCCCTCAGAGTGAAGAACCTTGTCCTCAGAGTTAGCAACCTTGTTATCAAGGTGAGGAACATTTTTCTCAGGGTGAGGAACCATGTCCTCAGTGTGAGGAACCTTGTCCGCATATTGTGGAACCCTTGTTCTCAGAGTGAGGAACCTTGTTCTCAGAGTGAGGAAACTTGTTCTCAGAGTGAGGAACCTTGTTTTCAGAATGAGGAACCTTGTCCTCAGAGTGATGAACCTTGTCCTCAGAGTCAGGAACCTGTCTTCAGAGTGAGAAACCTTGTCCTCAGAGTGAGGACCCTTGTCCTCAGAGTGAGGAACATTGTCCTCAGATTGAGGAACCTTGTTCTCAGGGTGAGGAACCTTGTTTTTAGAGTGAGGAGCCTTGTCCTCAGTGTGAGGAACCTTGTCCTCAGAATGAGGAACCTTGACCTCAAAGTGAGGAACCTTGTCCTCAGAGCGAGGAGCCTTATCCTCAGTGTGAGGACGTTTTCCTCAGGGTGAGGAACCTTGTCCTCAGAGTGAGGAACCTTGTCTTCTGAGTGAGAAACCATGTCTTCAGTGTGAGGAACCTTGTCCTCAGAGTGAGGAACATTGTCCTCAGAATGAGGAACCTTGACTTCAGAGTAAAGAACCCTGTCCTCAGAGTGAGGAACCTGTCTTCAGAGTGAGGAACCTTGTCCTCAGAGTGAGGAACCTTGTCCTCAGAGTGAGGAACCTTGTCCTCAGAATGAGGAACCTGACTTAAGGGTGAGGAAATTTGTCCTCAGAGTGAGAAACCTTGTCCCCAGGGTGATGAACCTTGTCCTCAGAGTGAGGAACCTGGTTTCAGAGTGAGGAAACTTGTCCTCAGAATGAGGAACCTTCTCCTCAGAGTGAGGAACCTTGTCCTCAGAGTGAGGAGCCTTGTACTCAGAGTGAGGAGCCTTGTCCTCAGTGTGAGGAAAGTTTTCCTCAGAGTGAGGAACCTTGTCCTCAGAGTGAGGAACCTTGTCCTCAGAATGAGGAACCCTGAACTCAGAGTGAGGAACCTTGTCCTCAGAGCGAGGAACCTTGTCCTCAGAGTGACGAACCTGACTTCCGGGTGAGGAACCTTGTCCTCAGAGTGAGAAACCTTGTCCCCAGGGTGAGGAACCTTGTCCTCAGTGTTAGGAACCTCGTCCTCAGAGTGAGGTACGTTCTAATGAGGGTGAGGAACCTTGTACTCAGAGTGAGGAACATTGTACTCAGGGTGAGGAACCCTGTCCTCAGAGTGAGGAACCTTGTTTTCAGAGAGAGGAACCTTATCTTCACAGTGAGCAATCTTGTACTCAGAATGGGTAACCTTGTCCTCAGAGTGAGGAACCTAGTCCTCAGAGTGAGGAACCTTGTCCTCAGAGTGAGGAACCTGGTCCTCAGAGTGAGGAGCCTTGTCCTCAGAGTGAGGAGCCTTGTCCTCAGTGTGAGGAAAGTTTTCCTCAGAGAAAGGAACTTTGTCCTCAGAGTGAGGAACTTTGTCCTCAGAATGAGGAACCTTCTCCTATGAGTGAGGAACCTTGTCCTCAGAGCGAGGAGCCTTGTTCTCAGTGTGAGGAACGTTTTCCTCAGGGTGAGGAACCATGTCCTCAGAGTGAGGAACCTGACTTCAGAGTGAGGAACCTTGTCTAGAGAGTGAGGAACCTTGTTCTCAGAGTGAGGAACCTTGACTTTAGTGTGAGGAACCAAGTCCTCAGAGTGAGGAACCTTGTCCTCTGAGCGAGGAACCTTGTCCGCGGTGTGAGGAACCTGCCATCAGAGCGCGGCACGTTGTCTTCAGAGTGAGGAACCTTGTCCTTAGTGTGAAGAACCTTGACTCAGAGTGAGGAAACTTGTCCTTAGTGTGAGGAACCTTGCCCTCAGAGTGAGGAACCTTGTCCTCAGGGTGAGGAACCTCGCTCTCAGAGTGAGGAAACTTGTTCTCACAGTGAGGAACCAAGTCCTGAGTGTGAGGAACCTTGTCCTCAGATTGAGGAACCCTTGTGCTCAGAGTGAGGAACCTTGTTTTCAGAGTGAGGAACCTTGTTCTCAGAGTGATGAACCTTGTCCTCAGAGTGAGGAACCTGACTTCAGGGTGAGGAACCTTGTCCTCAGTGTGAGGATCCTCGGCCTCAGAGTGAGGTACGTTCTCCTGAGGGTGAGGAACCTTGTACTCAGAGTGAGGAACCTTGTACTTAGATTGAGGAACCCTGTCCTCAGAGTGAGGAACCTTGTTTTCAGAGAGAGAAACCTTGTCCTCACAGTGAGCAACCTTGTACTCAGTATGGGGAACCTTGTCCTCAGAGTGAGGAACCAAGTCCTCAGAGTGAGGAACCTTGTCCTCATAGTGAAGACCCTTGTCCTCAGAGTGACGAACCTTGTCCTCAGAGTGAGGAACCAGACTTCAGAATGAGGAACCTGACTTCAGAGTGAGGAACCTGACTTCAGAGTGAGAACCTTGTCCTCATTGTGAGCAACCTTTTCCTCAGAGTGAGGAACCTTGTCTTCATAGTGAGGAATCTTGTTCTCAGTGTGAGGAACCTCGACCTCAGAGTGAGGTACCTTGTCCTCAGAGTGAGGAACTTTGTCCTCAGCGGGAGGAACATGCCTTCAGGGTCGGGAACCTTGTCCTCAGAATGAGAAACCTTGTCCTCAGAATGAAGAACCTTTTCCTCAGTGTGTGGAACCTTGTCCTCAGAGTGAGGAACTTTTTCTCAGAATGAGGAGCCTTGTCTTCCGAGTGAGGAACCTTGTTCTCAGAATGAAGAACATTGTCCTCAGAGTTAGGAACCTTGTCGTCAGAGTGAGTAATCTTGTCCTCAGAGTGAGGAACCTTGTCCTCAGGGTGAGGAACCTTGTCCGCAGAGTGAGGAACCTTGTCCTCATAATGAGGAACCTTGTTCTCAGTGTGAGGAACCTTGTCCTCAGTGTGAAGCACCTCGTGCTCAGAGTGAGGAACCTTGTCCTCAAAGTGATAAACCTTGTCCTCGGATTGAGGAATCTGCTTTCAGAGTGAGGAATTTTGTCCTCAGTCTGAGGAACCTGCCTTCAGAGGACGGAACCTTGTCCGCAGAGTGAGGAACCTTGTCCTCAGAGTGAAGAACCTTGTCCTCAGAGTGAGGAAACTTGTCCTCATTGTGAGAAACCTTGCCTTCAGAGTGAAGAACCTTGTCTTCAGAGTTAGCAACCTTGTTCTCAAAGTGAGGAAACTTTTTCTCAGGGTGAGGAACCATGTCCTCAGTGTGAGGAACCTTGTCCTCATATTGTGGAACCCTTGTTCTCAGAGTAAGGAACCTTGTTCTCAGAAAGAGGAAACTTGATCTCAGAGTGAGGAACCTTGTTGTTAGAGTGAGGAACTTTGTCCAGAGAGTGATGAACTTTGCTCTCAGAGTGAGGAACCTGTCTTCAGAGTGAGGAACCTCGTCCTCAGAGTGAGGACCCTTGTCCTCAGAGTGAGGAACATTGTCCTTAGATTGTGGAACCTTTTTCTCAGGGTGTGGAACCTTGTTCTTAGAGTCAGGAACCATGTCCTTAGTCTGAGGAGCCTTGTCCTCAGTGTGAGGAACCTTGTCCTCAGAATGAGGAACCTTGACCTCAGAGTGAGGAACCTTGTCCTCAGAGCGAGGAGCCTTGTCCTCAGTGTGAGGACGTTTTCCTCAGCGTGAGGAATATTGTACTCAGAGTGGGGAACCTGACTTCAGTGTGAGGAACCTTGTCCTCAGAGCGAGGAGCCTTGTCCTCAGCGTGAGGAACGTTTTCCTCAGGGTGAGGAACCTTGTCCTCAGAGTGAGGAACCTGACTTAAGAGTGAGGAACCTTGTCTTCAGAGTGAGGAACCTTGCTCTCAGAATGAGGAACCTTGTCCGCGGTGTGAGGATCCTGGCATCAGAGCGCGGCACGTTGTCTTCCGAGTGAGAAACCTTGTCCTTAGTGTGAAGAACCTTGACTCAGAGTGAGGAAACTTGTCCTTAGTGTGAGGAACCTTGCCCTCAGAGTGAGGAACCTTGTCCTCAGGGTGAGGAACCTCTTTGTTCTCAGGGTGAGGAACCATGTCCTCAGTGTGAGGAACCTTGTTCTCAGATTGAGGAACCCTTGTTCTCAGAGTGAGTTACCTTCTTTTCAGAGTGAGGAACCTTGTTCCCAGAGTGATGAACCTTGTCCTCACAGCGAGGAACCTGTTTTCAGAGTGAGGAACCTTGTCCCCAGAGTGAGGAACCTTGTTCTCAGAGTGAGGAACCTTGTCCTCAGAGTGAGGAACCTGACTTCAGGGTGAGGAACCTTGTCCTCAGAGTGAGAAACCTTGTCCCCAGGTGAGGAACCTTGTCCTCAGTGTGAGGAACCTCGTACTCAGAGTGAGGTACGTTGTCCTGAGGGTGAGGAACCTTGTACTCAGAGTGAGGAACCTTGTACTTAGAGTGAGGAACCCTGTCCTCAGAGTGAGGAACCTTGTTTTCAGAGAGAGGAACCTTGTACTCAGAATGGGGAACCTTGTCCTCAGAGTGAGGAACCTTGTCCTCAGAGTGAGGAACCTAGTCCTCAGAGTGAGGAACCTTCTCCTCAGAGTGAGGAACCTTGTCCTCAGAGTGAGGAACCTTGTCCTCAGAATGAGGAACGCTAACCTCAGAGTGAGGAAACTTGTTCTCAGAGCGAGGAGCCTTGTCCTCAGTGTGAGGAACGTTTTCCTCAGGGTGAGGAACCTTGTCCTCAGAGTGAGGAACCTGACTTCAGAGTGAGGAACCTTGTCTTCAGAGTGAGGAACCTTGTTCTCAGAATGAGGAACCTTGTCCTCAGTGTGGGGAACCTTCTCCTCAGTGTGAGGAACCTTGTCCCCAGAGTGAGCATCCCTTGTTCTCAGAGTGAGGAACCATGTCCTCAATGTGAGGAACCTTGTCCTCAGAGTGAGGAACCTGACTTCAGAGAGAGCAACCTTGTCTTCAGAGAGGAGAACTTCGTTCTCAGAGTGAGGAAACTTGACCTTAGTGTGAGGAACCTTGTCCTCAGAGTGAGGAACCTTGTCCTCAGAGCGAGGAATCTTGTCCGCAGTCTGAGGAACCTGCCATCAGAGTGCGGAACGTTGTCTTCAGAGTGAGGAACCTTGTCCTTAGTGTGAAGAACCTTGTCCTCAGAGTGAGGAAACTTGTCCTTAGTGTGAGGAACCTTGCCCTCAGAGTGAGGAACCTTGTCCTCAGAGTGAGAAACCTTGTCCACAGAGCGAGGAACCTTCTCAGCAGTCTGAGGAACCTGCCATCAGAGTGCGGAACGTTGTCTTCGGAGTGAGGAACCTTGTCCTTAGTGTGAAGAACCTTGTCCTCAGAGTGCGGAAACTTGTCGTTAGTGTGAGGAACTTTGCCCTCAGAGTAAGGAAGCTTGTCCTCAGGGTGAGGAACCTTGTCGTCAGAGTGAGGAACCTTGGTCTCAGAGTGAGCAACATTATCACAGTGTGACGAACCTTGTCCTCAGAGTGAGGAACCTTGTCGTCAGAGTGACGAGCCTTGTTCTCAGAGAGAGGAACCTTGTCCTCAGTGTGAGGAACCTTCTCCTCAGTGTGAGGAACCTTGTCCTCAAAGTGACAATCCCTTGTTCTCAGAGTGAGAAACCTTGTCCTCAGTGTGAGGAACCTTGTCCTCAGAGTGAGGACCCTGACTTCAGAGTGAGGAACCTTGTCTTCAGAATGAGGAACCGTGTTCTCAGAGTGAGGAACTTTAACGTTAGTGTGAGGAACCTTGTCCTCAGGGTGAGGAACCTTGTCATCAGAGCGAGGAACCTTGTCCGCAGTCTGAGGAACCTGCCATCAGATTGCGGAACGTTGTGTTCAGAGTGAGGAACCTTGTCCTTAGTGTGAAGAACCTTGTCCTCATGATCAGAGCGACGAACCTTGTCCTCAGAGTGAGGAACCTTGTCCTTTGAGTGAGGATCCTTGTCCTATGAGTGAGGAACCTTGTCATCCGAGTGAGGAAGGTTCTCCTCAGAGAGAGGAACCTTGTCCTCAGTGTGAGCAACCTTTTCCTCTGAGTGAGGAACCTTGTCTTCATAGTGAGGAATCTTTTCCTCAGTGTGAGGAAGCTCGACCTCAGAGTGAGGTACCTTGTCCTCAGAGTGAGGAACTTTGTCCTCAGCGCGAGGAACATGGTTTAAGGGTGGGGAACCGTGTCTTTAGAATGAGAAACCCTGTCCTCAGAATGAGGAACCTTTTCCTCAATGTGTGGAACCTTGTCCTCAGAGTGAGGAACCTTGTTCTCCGACTGAGGAACCTTGTCTTCAGAGTGAGGAACCTTGTTCTCAGAATGAAGAACATTGTCCTCAGAGTGAGGAACCTTGTCGTCAAAGTGAGGAATCTTCTCCTCAGAGTGAGGAACCTTGTCGTCAGAGTGAGGAACCTTTTCCTCAGTGTGAGGAACCTTGTCCACAGAGTGAGGAACTTTTTTCTCAAAGTGAGGAACCTTGTCTTCAGCGTGATAAACCTTGCCCTCATAGTGAAAACCTTGTCCTCGGAGTGAGGAACTTGACATCATAGTGATGAACCTTGTCCTCAGAGTGAGGAACCTGACATCAGAGTGAGGTACCTTGACCTCAGAGTGAGGAACTTTGTCCTCAGTGGGAAGAACATGCCTTCAGGGTGAGGAACCTTGTCCTCAGAGTGAGGAACCTTGTCCTCAGAGGGAGGAACCTTGTCCTCAAAGGAACGAACCTTGTCCTTAATGTGAGGAACCCGCATTCTGATTGAGGAACATTGTCCTCAGAGAGAGAACCTTGTCCTCAGTGTGAGGAACCTAGTCCTCAGAGTGAGGTACCTTGTCCTCAGAGTGAGGAACTTTGTCCTCAGCGGAAGGGACATGCCTTCAGTGTGAGGAACCTTGTCCTCAGGGTGAGGAACCTTTTCCTCAGTGTGTGGAACCTTGTCCTCAGAGTGAGGAACCTTGTTGTCAGAGTGAGGAACCTTTTCCTTATAGTGAAAACCTTGTCCTCAGAGTGACGATCCTTGTCCTCAGAGTGATAAACCTTGTCCTCAGAGTGAGGAATCTGACTTCAGAGTGAGAAACCTTGTCGTCAGATTGAGGAATCTTGTCCTCAGAGTGAGAAACCTGGCTTCAGGGTGAGGAACCTTCTCTTCAGCGCGAGAAACCTTGTCCTCATAGTGAAAACCTTGTCCTCAGAGTGATGAACCTTGTCCTCAGAGTGATGAACCTTGTCCTCAGAGTGAGCAACCCTGTCCTCGGACTGAGGAACCTTGTTCTCAGGGTGAGGAACCTTGTCTTCAGTGTTAGGAACCTTGTCCTCAGAGTGAGAAACCTTGTCCTCAAAGTGAGGAACATTGTCCTCAGAGTGAGGAACCTTTTCCTCAGCGTGAGGAACCTTGTTCTCAGAGTGAGGAACGTTGTCCTCAATGTGAGTAACCTTGTCCTCAGTGTTATGAACGTTGTTCTCAGAGTAAGGAACCTTGTTCTCAGTTTGAGGAACATTGTCCTTAGAGTGACGAACCTTCTCCTCAGTGTGAGGAACCTTGTTCTCAGAGTGACAAACCTTGTCCTCAGAGTGAGCAACCTTGTCCTCAGTGTGAGGGACCTTGTCCTCAGAGTGAGAAACCTTGTTCTGAGAGTGAGGAACCTTGTCCTCAGAGTGAGGATCCTTGTTCTCAAAGTGAGCAACCTTGTCCTCAGAGTGAGGAAACTTGTCCTCAGTGTGAGGAACCTTGTCTACAGAGTGAGGAACCTTGTTCTCAGAGTGAGGAGCCTTGTCCTCAGAGTGAGGAACCTTGTCCTCAGTGTGAGGTACCTTGTCCTCAGAGTGAGGAACCTTGTTCTCAGAGTGAGGAACCTTGTCTTCAGTGTAAGGAACCTTGTCCTCAGCGTGAAGAACCTTGTCCTCAGAGTGAGCAACCTTCTCCTCAGAGTGAGGAACCTTGTTCTCAGAGTGAGGAGCCTAGTCCTCAGAGTGAAGAACCTTGTCCTCAGTGCGAGGAACCTTGTCCTCAGAGTGAGGAACCTTGTTCTCAGAGTGAGCAACCTTCTCCTCAGAGTGAGGAACCTTGTCCTCAGTGTGACGAACATGCATTCTGATTGAGGAACCTTGTCCTCAGGGTGAGGAACCTTTTCCTCATAGTGAAAACCTTGGTCTCAGAGTGATGAACCTTGTCCTCAGAGCGAGGAACCTGACTTCAGAGTGAGAAACCTTTCGTCAGATTGAGGAATCTTGTCCTTAGAGTGAGGAACCTGACTTCAGAGTGAGGAATCTTGTCCTCAGTGTGAGGAACCTTGTCCTCACATTGAGGAACCTTGTCCTCAGAGTGAGGAACCTTGTGCTCAGAGTGAGAAACCTTGACTTATAATGAAAACCTTGTCTTCAGAGTGACGACCCTTGTCCTCAGAGTGAGGAACCTTGTCCTCAGAGTGAGGAACCTTGTCCTCAGAGTGAGGAACCTTGTCCTTAGTATGAGGAGCCTTGTCCTCAGTGTGAGGAACCTTTACCTCAGAGTGAGGATCCTTGTTCTCACAGTGAGGAACATTGTCTTCAGAGTGAGGCACCTGACTTCAGAGTGAGGAACCTTGTCCTCCGAGTGAGGAACCTTGTCCTCAGAGCGAGGAACCTTGTCCGCAGTCTGGGGAACCTGCCATCAGAGTGCGGAACGTTGTCTTCAGAGTGAGGAACCTTGTCCTCAGTGTGAGGAACCTTGTCCTCAGAGTGAAGAACCTTGTTCTCAGAGTGAGGAACCTTGTCCTCAGTGTAAGGAACCTTGTCCTCGGCGTGAAGACCCTTGTACTCAGAGTGGGCAACCTTCTCCTCAGAGTGAGGAACCTTGTTCTCAGGGTGAGGAACCTTGTCTTCAGTGTTATGACCCTTGTCCTCAGAGTGAGGAACCTTGTCCTCCGGGTGACGAACCTTGTTCTCAGAGTGAGGAACCTTGTCCTCAGTGTGAGGAACCTTGTCCTCAGTGTGAGGAACCTTGTCTTCAGAGTGAGGAACCTTGTCCAGAGAGTGAGGAACCTTGTCTTCAGAGTGAAGAACCTTCTCCTCAGTGTGATGAACATGCATTCTGATTGAGGAACCTTGTCCTCAGAGTGAGAACCTTCTCCACAGTGTGAGGAACCTAGTCCTCAGAGTGAGGAACCTCTTCCTCAGAGTGGGGAACCTTGTCCCCAGAATGAGGAAAATTGTGCTCAGAGTGAGAAACCTTGTCGTCAGATTGAGGAATCTTCTCCTTAGATTGAGGAACCTGACTTCAGAGTAAGGAATCTTGTCCTCAGTGTGAGGAACCTTGTGCTCAGAGTGAGAAACCTTGACTTATAGTGAAAACCTTGTCTTCAGAGTGACGACCCTTGTCTTCAGAGTGAGGAAACTTGTCCTCAGAGTGAGGAACCTTGTCCTTAGTGTGAGGAGCCTTGTCCTCAGTGTGAGGAACCTTTACCTCAGAGTGAGGATGGTAATTTGGGATTCCTCAATGTGAGTAACCTTGTCCTGAGTATGAAGAGCCTTGTCCTCAGAGTGAGGAACATTGTCCTCAGAGTGAGGAACCTTGTCCTTAGTGTGAGGAGCCTTGTCCTCAGTGTGAGGAACCTTTACCTCAGAGTGAGGATGGTAATTTGGGATTCCTCAATGTGAGTAACCTTGTTCTGAGTATGAAGAGCCTTGTCCTCAGAGTGAGGAACATTGTCCTCAGAGTGAGGAACCTTGTCCTTAGTGTGAGGAGCCTTGTCCTCAGTGTGAGGAACCTTTACCTCAGAGTGAGGATGGTAATTTGGGATTCCTCAATGTGAGTAACCTTGTCCTGAGTATGAAGAGCCTTGTCCTCAGAGTGAGGAACATTGTCCTCAGAGTGAGGAACCTTGTCCTTAGTGTGAGGAGCCTTGTCCTCAGTGTGAGGAACCTTTACCTCAGAGTGAGGATGGTAATTTGGGATTCCTCAATGTGAGTAACCTTGTCCTGAGTATGAAGAGCCTTGTCCTCAGAGTGAGGAACATTGTCCTCAGAGTGAGGAACCTTGTCCTTAGTGTGAGGAGCCTTGTCCTCAGTGTGAGGAACCTTTACCTCAGAGTGAGGATGGTAATTTGGGATTCCTCAATGTGAGTAACCTTGTCCTGAGTATGAAGAGCCTTGTCCTCAGAGTGAGGAACATTGTCCTTAGAGTGAGGAACCTTGTCCTTAGTGTGAGGAGCCTTGTCCTCAGTGTGAGGAACCTTTACCTCAGAGTGAGGATGGTAATTTGGGATTCCTCAATGTGAGTAATGTCCGTAATGAAAAACGGACGATGCATTATATTCTACTATCTCGGTCGGATGCAAGTACAATAAAAACAAATCATCTCAGCAGCGGGTACATTCGGACGTTTTAACTGACGTAAAAAATACAATCTTTGAGAGTCTTTCTTAATTAATGATACATTGAACCTGTCAATATAGTCGACTATTCCATTGACTGTAAGATCAAAACAATACATACAATATACAATATACAATACATACATACATATTTACAAAGACATACAATATTATAATAAACCCAAATTAGCCTAACTGTGTGGCATTCATCAACGACTATGAGGGACAGTTCGTTTCTGAATGGCGAGCTTTTATTCTTCAACAAGGCAACAAATTCTGGAGACAAAGGCTCAATTTAAGCTTCATCAGCAGACGCATACACAAATATCTGAAAATTGGTTTCCTTGATCCCACTATAAGAACGGCCGAGTTAATATTTCCAAAAGCGATCATCCTTAATGCAAAGTCGTTGGACCGTAACTGTTCATCAATAATGCTACGAAGAGGAACAATTACTAGAATACTAGTTGGGCTTGAACAAACCCTTCGAATATCTTCAGCCAACAGGAAACTCTTTCTAAATCCCGTAGGAAGGACAGCTAAAACATCTCTACCTTCAAGTAGGCACTCTATTGCGAGCGTTTGTTTTTGTAAGCTTGTTGTAAGACTTTCAACTACATACGTATCAATTTTCGTTGCTTCCCGCTGCCAGATAGATATTAATTTCGGCAAATGTCTGTTTACAGTATAAAGCCAGCTGAGTGATGGGTTTTAATGTTATCAGAATATTTATTGTTTTTTAACCAATCAGAATTTCCCGTTGTGTGTTTTGCCATTGTCCCGCGCGTTCAATCTTAGTCCGCGAAACAATAAAACGAAGGAAAATAGAGGGATTGCTCGCAGTCTAATATCGTGCTTACGCGAGCAAAAATATTGAAAGTGCCTACGACATTCTCGAGCGTTTTAGCGGATCTACGAGTGAAAGAGAAAAGTTATAAAGTTTCAAGGTTACTTTGAAAGATAGGAAAGAAGTTTTTTGAGAGTATTGACGAAACTACAGGGTGTATCAAAATAAACGCAATTCATCTTTTGTGCTTAATAACTTTCGAAATACTATTTCTAGGTAAACGCTTTTAGGCTTACTTCAAAGCCTGTTCTTTTCTCTTTCAAACAAACTCTTATCCTTGTCTCCAATGCTAGTAATAATTGCACAGGAAAAGATTTAGTAAAACCTATCATTTTTAGTTGCTGTTTAATTATGCAAGTTTACTATGTTATTGTTTAGTTGGTTTAAATGTTAGAATTTTCTTCTTTAAACTTTAATGTTCTCGTCACTACATCTGGAAAACCACGTAAGAACAAATTAAAAGTATTTTAAAAGAGACTAGGTTGTTTGAAAATCCTACACGAATGCTAAAAATCATAGAATCAAAACATTCTGGTGTCTGAGCCAGAGTGTCATCGAATTGCGATGTAATGTAAACAGAAATTATAGCAAGCTGATGTCAGTCAGCTTAGATGGTCCAAGCCAAAATTATATCGCATTTGAAGTTTCAAACTTTGTTAAAAATAGTGGAGAAAAGCCGTAATTATACTTATTGTTACAATCCATTTATTAAAATGCAACATTTTTTTGTTTTAATGAAAAAATCAGTTATTTTCATGGGAACGATTTGTTATTCCATCTCAATTTTTTTAATCTCCAATCGCAATAACGTAACATTTCAGTCGAGGATTGCGCTTTTTTTGATACACCCTGTATATTGGAGTTGACGAAAGACGAAGACATTAATAAAGAGAAAATCGTAGCTAGTGATATCGGTGAATCGATAAATCGAGTATGTGTTAAGAAAAATAATGCTTTGAACCCTGTAAACAATGCAGCAAGTCTGTCTTCTAGAAATACTGAATCTGCGACAATCCGCAGCCCTGCATCAACCCCGGCCCTACAATCAAAGCGAAACTACCAAATTAAAACTGACATTGAGAACTTTCTCACCGTCAGTTTACTTATATCTTCATCACTTAGTCCATCTACGATACTGTCGCCGATAGCGCTGTTAATTAGTTCCCTCCGCCTTGTTTTCAGACAAATTATCCCTGGAAGAATGCAGTCTGATTCGATGTCACTATGGATAATCGCTAACTCAGCATTCCTGAACTACCAGGAAGTACCAGGAAATTCCCCCAAGGCCCGTGGCGATAGACGTGGAGAGAGCCAAATCTACCATGTTCAAGTAGTTGAAAAACCAGAGCTCCCACTACGTAACCTCAAAAATTTTAACCCCCGCCCCCCCTTGCTGTGCTAAAAAGTTTTTAATCCCCATCAGAATCTTCCCCCCCCCCCCTTGTTATATTAAATGAACATTCCCTTAGAATTGGCGAAGAAGATCAAAACCCGATTGTCCGAAGCGCAAATGGTTGAGTAACAGCAAAGAATTCATGACGGAGTTTCAAGATGATCCACAATTTTTAGAAGGTCCTCAACAACCGTCTATCAGAAACCTCCAACATTCCCTCAGCCGAATTGTCGTCTTCATCGCCTTTTGGAATTATCTGAAGTACTTAATACATGCAATACAATAATTTATTGAACTCTCCCCAACGGGGCTTTTCGGAGCCAATTAACAATTACAAAAAATTATAAGATATACCAACATGAAATTCTAACTAACTAATTACTGGTATGGATCTAAAAATTGTTAAAGGCCAAATGCTACTATGAATGATTTCCTAAAAGATATTTACATAATTTATGTTTAAAAATGTTAACTGATGAACTACATTTAATGTTCTCTGGAAGTTCGTTCCATAAGGAGACAGCACGGTAATAGAATGTCCGTTGGCCAGTTGCACTCCTGAAAAAGGGGATGTTTAAAGAACTTGAGTTCCTCGTGCAACGTCCACTGATGTCGACTCTCCTCACAAATTGTTGAGACAAAGATTCAGGTGTTATTCCGTTTAGACAATTTAACGGGAATCCAGTGCAGTTCAGTCAACAAGGGTGTTATGTGGTCAAATTTTCTTGATTTAGTGATAATTCGGGCGGCAAAGTTCTGTAATGCTTGAAGTCTGCGGATGTTATTTGCAGTGGTGTTAGCCCATACCGACGAGCAATAATACATTTTACTGAAAACTAAACTTCGAATTACCAAGACAAGCAAACTTTTATCTAAAACATGTTTTACACGGTTAATCTGCGCCAGGCTGGACATGCAAAAAGAGACAGTCTTAACGACATGATAGTCGAAGGAAAGGCTTGAATCAAATGTAACTCCGAGATCTTTCGCTGTTTGGACTGGAATAAGTTCCTTACCCAGTAATGACAGACGGAAGTCAGAGACTTTCGAGATCATTTGGCGACTACCAAAAACCATAAGCTTTGTCTTGGATGCGTTGAGAAGGAGGTGGTTGTCAAAACACCAGTCACGAATCCTGCACAGATCTTTATTCATCTCTGTTCTTGCTGAGGCACATTGTTGGATAAGAAAAGTAAGTGATAGTTTATTATCGTCAACGTACATCTTGGATAAACTGCTCTGAGGAATTGTTGGTAGTTCGTTAACATAGATATTAAAGAGGATCGGTCCAAGAATGCTGCCTTGTGGGACACCACTGTTCACAGGTAGTTTGTCGGATAGAACGGTATTGATACGCACGACCTGGAATCTTTCCGATAAATAGATCGAAAACCAGTTTAGGGCAGCAGGTGATACACCGACATCTTGTAATTTCAACAGGAGAATGTTGTAATCTATACTGTCGAAAGCTTTACTCATATCTAGCAGAACAACGGCCGTTAACTCTTTTCCATCGATAGCGTTCAAGATTGAATCCGTAGTCTCGATCAAGGATGTTTCTGTCGAGTGAAATCTCCTATTGCCACTCTGTTGGGTAGATAGGCGTTGTTTTGTATCTAAATAAGGAATCATTTGGTTATGCACTGTCCTCTCGCATACCTTAGATAAAATTGGCAAAAGCGAGATGGGTCTGTTGTTGTTTGCTTGCTCGTGGTCGCCATCTTTCGGAATGGGTGTGATAACAGCCATTTTCCAATCGCAGGAAAAATTCCGGAAACAAGTGAGGTGTTAATAATGGAAGTGATTGTTGGTAAGATTGCGGGAAGACTATCTTTAATGACTCGCATCGAGATCTGATCTATTCCAGGGGATTTGTTAGTTGGCATGGACGAAATAATGAAAAAACACTTAATCATCGTCAGAATCGGATTCACCATCCCCTGACAAAGTATCATCATCTGATTAAGTTTCTGCATCAATGGCTGCGTCGTTGTTCCTACTTATGTAGAAATTTTCTTTAATTCGTTTGATTTTATCCTTTTTTTTCCGATAGTGGACAGATCGTGTCTCTTAAGGTACATGCCAAGTTCCATCACGTCTAACGAATTTAGTTTTCCTGAATCAATGAGGGTATTCCAATCGTAGTCATCATAGGTTTTGCTGCACTCTTTTTCTCGTTTTTTTCTTTTTCGTTTTCCCTGATAGCAGATATCATTTTCAACTCTTCAAGGTGTTTAATATATGATGCGACATGCTTCTCTTCAACAGTTCAACACAATAACGACTGGATACTTAATTATTTAAGTTGTTAAATATTGTCCGATGAGATCGTGCCAGCTGTATATAGACGCTTTATCACTGCCCCGGGAGCGACATCATCCACTTTTCTTAATTGCCCGTTATCGTCTGCGGTTAGTGTGTTGAAAACACTCATATAATGCCCTGGTATATCAGGATCTGGATACGAATTGTGCTCCTGTGAGTTTTAACGAATTTTTCCTCAAATTTTCACAGAACATAGCTAAAGACGTCAGTTTCAAAATGCGTTCGGCTTTGTTCTAATTTTGGCTATTTTAATAATAAGGAGCAATTCACACAAACGATTCAGAAATATATTGCAGTCGTCAAAGAAATCGCCATATCAGCGGAATGACGAAATAAACAAAAGTTTCCGAACACAATTTTTTAGAACAACTATTTTACTGTATAAAAATGATATTTTCATAAATATATCTTAAAACCAGCAGGAACATAACTCAAAAGCGTAAAGGTACCGCGACTTAAGATTTTCCTGAATAATTCTTACATTTTATTGTTTGTCCATTTTACAACTTTACCATATTTTGCATGCACTGGCTAACATTTGGTGAAAATTTGATGAAAATCGGACTGATTTTGAGCGCGCAGTAGCGATTTTCCACAAAACGCCAAAAAGGGTGTCCTGTAACCTTAAAACATTTGTTATGTAGTGGTAACCAGGAACCTGTTGTTTTGATTCAGCAGCAGTACAGCTTTGAAATTGTTTTAAATATTTTTTGGTGAAAAAGAAAGGGCTTTGCTTTGGAGTTAAATAACATTTAATAGACTAGTTAAACACTGGTGTCCCATCAACCCTATTGCGAATTTCATTAGCACAGTACCACGCATTCTTCTCCATTCTATCCGTCTCGTGTTCTTCGCACTCTCTCACCATCAGCTTACTTATATCTTCATCACTTAGTCCATCAAAGCCGACAAAGCGTTTATGTTTTGTTCCACTCGAGTGTTGCGCCATCTACGATACTGTCGCCGATAGCGCTGTTAGTTATCTCGGCTTCGTTATCAGACAAATTACCCCTGGAAGAATGCAGTCTGATCCGATAGTCACTGTTATGGATAATCGCTAACTCGGCATTCCTGAACTACCAGGAAGTACCAGGAAATTCCCCCAGGGCCCGTGTCGATAGACATGGAGAGAGCCAAATCTACCATGTTTAAATTGTCTTCTTTAGAGGAGAAATTGGGTGCCATCAAGCACACGTTGCAAGAGCGTGATAATGAACTGTCAACTGTATGATTGTAATCATGTACCTAAGTAGTGGGCAGGCGATGAAATTTTCTATATTGCTCAGCATCTTGAAAAACTTAACAAAAATCTCATTTGTTTTCACTTGTCCATCACTAACATCTGGCAGCTTTTAAGTGCACGCTTCAATATAGATACAGTTTCAGGAGAAGAAAGGAAGAGGTAACCAGGAGAAGAAAGTAGCAAAGGAGAAAAGCTCGTCAAAGACAAAAGAACATGGGAAAGAAACAAGCTTATATTGAAAATACATAGAAAAGAATTTGCTGATGCCTTGCTTATAAAAGGAAACACTAAAAAAGTTAGCACACAAAATCTGGGAAGTATACAGCTCCTACACAGATTCCACATAAAAGCCATCGAATACTTGATTGCTCAAGGCGCGGTTGGTGACATGGAGCAAAAAGGCTTTTCGATACACTTCTGTCAAGAAGAGGCCACCACAGTAAAAAGACACCACAAGAATTAGGCCACCACAGTAAAGAGTCAGGAGGAAAAGGACCAGCCTGGGGTCTGAAAGTGAACTCTCAGATGGCTCTGAAGTTGATGACGAGATTACAGAGCCTGGACATGATGAGTTTGAAAGCTTCGAAATGGATGAAGATAGTGATCTGGTAGAACTCAGATAACATTGTTTGTCCACTATTAAATATAACCTATGACACCTTACTTACTTTTATTTAATATTGTCTTTAAATAGCCCTGAATATTCAAAATAGTTAGCCAGAGCCCCCACTACGTAACCTCAAAAATTTTAAAGCCCCCCTTGCTGTGCTAAATTTTTTTTAGTACCCCCTTCAGAATCTTCACTCCCCTCCCCCTTGTCATATTAAATGAACATTCCCTTAGAATTGGCGAAGAAGATCAAAACCCGATTGTCCGAAGTCCAAGTGGTTGAGTAACAGCAAAGACGGAGTTTCAGAATGATCCACAATTTTCAGAAAGTCCTCAACAACCGTCTAATTTACCGAGTGCAGTAACGGAGGAAGATGAAAGATATTCAAAGTCAATATTCGACCCTCAGCAACTCGACTCCCACCCTCGTGTCTTAGGTCAAGTATTAAATCCCAACGGACACGTTAATTATGAACTTTTCTGCTGCCTTGAAAAATGTCGAGACAAATGTGATCACGAAGAGAAGCATTCTAAGCATCGCGGCAAAGTTTCATGAACTGTTAGGTCTTATATCTCCAGTCACCCTTCGATTCAAACAAATATTTCAAGAGTTGTGTAAGAGCAAAAGCGACTGGGATGAACCACTGAATGACGAATGCTGCGAAGAATGGAATCAGATTGTCCAGAAATTGGAAGAAGCCAACCACATGAGTATCCCGGCCAAGATGTTATTGTCCAGATTCGTTCGGTAGTGAAATAAAGTCAACTGAGTTGCATTCTTTTGGAGATGCGTCCGAAAGTTCTTACGGTGCATGTGTCTATGTACGATGTGGAAACTCAGAAGGTATTCATTCTGATCTAGTTGCTTCATAAACAAGAGTGGCCCCAAATGTCGAAGCAGACAATTCCCCGGCTGGAATTGGCTGCAATTATTATCAAGTCTTCTAGCATACCGGTTAGCAGAAAGCGTGAAGAAAGCCTTGAATGATGTCAACAAGTAAGTTCAGGAGAATCGATTCAGTCACCTATTGGTCTGATTCAACTGTAGTGCTTAGTTGGATACGAAATTCTAACAAAGAATTCAAACAATTTGTTGAAAATCGATTACTAGAGATAAGAAGACTGGCATCCCCCGAAGTATGGAAGTTTGTCCCTACAAAACAAAACCAAGCAGACATTGCATCCCGAGGAACAACAGCAACCCAGTTTGTAGAAAACAAATTGTGGTGGAACGGTCCTGAATATCTAATAAAGTCTAATGAACGTTGGCCACCCCAACCTTGCAATTCCCAAGAGAACGATTCCGAGTTAAAATCTCCGCGAGTAAGCATTATTAGATCAACCGTTAATGTCGCACAAATTCCAAATATTATGGAATTAATGGATACCTCGAAATACAGCATTATTGGAAGATTACTTCGTGTTACAGCGTATGTCTTACGTTTCATTGACAATTTCAAGAAACACGTAGAGAATCTTGATACCACGGTTGGACAGATTACCTGTGAGGAGATCGACAACGCAGAACTGAATGGATTAAAGACATTCAATATCCAATGTCCAAACAAACAAACTATCGAAAAGTAAGAAGCCTGTTCGAAGATAAAGAGAACATAATACAATGCCATGGACGAAAACAGGAATCACCCTTACCCTATGATACGAAATTCCCTATCCTTTTACCAAGTGACCACTATTTTGCAAGAGTAGTTTTTCTTCGAAGTCACGAACAAGTCATGCACGATGGAGCGGTTCGAGAAACCCTGACGCAAGTTCGATCCAAGTATATATTGGTTAACAAAGGGTTGCCAAGTCGTGAAAAAGATAAAAAAGATCCTTTCGAAATGTACCATTTGTCGAAGATTAGAAGGTCCACCTTACGGGAACCCAGAAGTGCCACCACTACTCGAGTTCCGTTTGAGCAACGATTTTGCATTTTCCAAGATCGGCGTCGATTACGCATGCAGGTCCAATGCACGTGAAGGACTGCATATACAGTCAATCGAAAGATATGCATAAGGTTTACATATCCTAAGGCTTGTACACCTGTTCAAGCAGTAGAGCCACACATTTGGAATTCGGTTCCAGACATGTCAAGCGAAGCATTTAGAGCGATTAATCGGAAGACGTGGAATCCCCGCACTGATCATTTCGGATCGATGGAAAAACAGTTAAAGGTCTAGAAATTAGAGCGTTTATTGCCTCCAAGACTATAATATTAAATGGCGATATATTGTGGAAAAATCCCTTTGGTCGGGAGATTTTTATGAAAGAATGGTACGAAGTGTCAAAAGATGTTTGAAGAAAGTCTTGCGTAATACTAGACTTACTTACGAAGAACGTCTGACATTATTGATTCCAGTAGAAGGAGTCTTGAATTCTAGACCACTAACTTATGTATATCCAGATCGAGATGAACCGTTGACACCGTCACATTTAGACATTCAGTGTTAGGTAAGAGAATACTTACGGTTCCAGCGCAAGGAGAGTTCGACGTAGAAGACGAAGGAAGAAACGAACTGTTGAAGAGAGACAAGTACAGTATCTTACAGTATCTTCTATCATCATTGTGATGATAGAAAGTTTACTTAAAGAGAGAGAGACGGAAACGTTCGAGCTGCAAGAGTAAGAAAGTTCAATAAAGCCGGAAAACTCGCGACAACTAGAGGAGCGGTGCAGAGATACCATTGAACTGAAAGACAGCAAACTTGAACATGAACATACAAATGAGTTTCCAATCACCTTTGTTGAACGAGCAAATGCAGAAAACATGCCTGAAACTGTATGTATACTGAAATAGTTTAATTGTTGTTGTTTAGTTATGTTGACAGATATTTCTGAATTCTGATTTGTCATGATGGGGAGTATGTATAATTATTATATAGTAGAGAGTGAGATATTGAAAAATACACAGTGAGATATCTTCCATATCTTCACTAGTGAAGATATCGATCACGTGACCTTTTCCAATTTGGTTTTGAGCGTGAAATTTCACAATTTTTTGCTTCGACTATATAATAAGCAGAACATTACATTATATACACGGTGGCTTGAAGATATGACTTTTATCTTCTCGTGTTAAAAACAAACTTTTGCTCACTCGCTGCGCTAATTCGTAAAATATTGTTTTCACCACTCGAAGATAAAAGTCATATCTTCGCGCCGCCGTGTAATATCATATCCTCTATTTATCGTAGAACAAGACAGTCTCGCGCGATTCACGCGTGACGTACGCGTGAAACACATGTTTTGGAGTGAGTGTACAGTTTGGATTTCAGAAAAAAATTTCAATAAAGTTTTCATTATTATTATTATTATTATTATTATTATTATTATTATTATTATTATTATTATTATTATTGTTATTGACGTACGCGTGAAACACATGTTTTGGAGTGAGTGTAGAGTTTGGATTTCAGAAAAAAATTTCAATAAAGTTTTCATTATTATTATTATTATTATTATTGTTATTATTTACATTACTCGATCTTAAAAATGCATTTGGCGAAGTCCATCATAACCTCATTTACGAAGTCCTTGATTACCATCACGTTCCTAATCACATAAAGAACCTTATCTGCAGTCTTTACACTGATTTCCAAACTTCCATCATAACCGAACAGTTTAACACCCCCTTCATTACAGTCGGTCGTGGCGTTCTTCAAGGCGATTGTCTCAGTCCACTTTTATTCAACATGTCATTCAATACTTTCATACAACATATTAAATCTGAAAAATACTGTCAGCTTGGTTTTTGGAAATTAAGTGAAATTGGCATTCCGTGCAATCCTATACATTGGTTTCAGTTTGCAGACGATGCTGCTGTCATCAGTAGCCAAGAGAAAGAAAATCAAATGCTCCTTAATCGTTTTACAATCTGGTGTCAATGGGCTAATATGATTATATGCGTTGACAAATGTTCAACATTTGGCATTAAAAAACACTTAACTAAATCTATGCAGTATTTACCCAAGCTTTTCGTTAATAACGATCTTGTACCCAGAACCGAAATGGGCAAATCTTTCCGTTACTTAGGTCGCTATTTCGATTTCAATATGTCTGATGAGGAACACAAATCGGAATTACTCGACGTGTTTAATGACATCATGAATAAAATTAATGAACTACCTTTACACCCGAAAAATAAAATTCTACTATACAGTCGTTACTTGCTGTCAAAGATATCCTGGGAGTTCACTGTTTCTGATATATCTAAGACCTGGATCTGCGAAACGTTAGACAGTATTGCGACAAAATATATCCGAAAATGGCTGGAACTTCCTGTCTCTGCAACCCTTAGCAACGTGTTGCTTCCACAAAACAAATTTGGTCTGAATATTATTCTCCCTTCGACAAAATTTATCCAATGTCAAACTGTCTCTCGATCAGCTTTAAAATACTCACCAAACGTAGATATTAACAATCTATGGGCGGTGACGAGCACAAACAAGAACATACAGTATGACATTTACAAAGACACAAAAGACGTACTTAAGGCAGTTAGAAAAGAAAACGAACAAAGACTTCAAAACCACCTCATTTCGCAAGGTTCTTTCTTTTCCAGTATCATGAATCATTCCACATCCACATTCAACTCTTTATGGTCATCCGTTCAGAGCAAACTTCCGAAAAACATTTTTAACTTCACCATCCGATATATCAATAACACACTTCCAACACGAAAGAACCTATCAAAATGGGGACTATCATCAACATCCGATTGCTCTTTCTGCTCCTCACCTGAAACGCTGCTCCATGTGATTGCTGGATGTAAGACATATTTAGACGAAGGCCGGTTTACATGGCGACACGATTCCGTTTTAAATTTCCTCGCATCCACTCTTACTGCTGTGAAAAATTCCACACTTTACGCGGACATTCCTAGTTTTATGAATCCATCTGTTATCACGGGAGATCGTTTACGACCTGACCTTCTGCTGGTGACTGAAAACAGATGTCTATACATCCTCGAGCTTACAGTCGGTTATGAATCCAATCTGCTAGTTAACGCCAATCGTAAGCGTCAAAAGTACAGTGATCTAATCAATGAGCAGGAAGCAGATTATGATAAAGTCAAGTTTGTCAATTTATCCTTGAGTACCCTCGGAGTTTTTGGCCGATCTTGTGAAAATTTCGATGGCATGCTAAGTAGCCTTAAATGTGATGCCAAGTATAGTAAATACATAAAAAAGCAAATCGTGAACATATGCATACGAACATCATATTATGTATTTTGTAAACGAAACAAAGTGTGGGATAACCCAAAATTAATGTTAATATAATCCTTCTTAAAATAATTATTGTACAATAAATATATAGTATCAATTCAAGTAGACATTGATAAACTACCTGTAAAGCGAGGTTTATAATTGTAGTTGTATATATCCTAATAATCAATAAATAAAGTTTCCATTATTATTATTATTATTATTATTATTATTATTATTATTATTATTATTATTATTATTATTATTATTATTATTATTATTATTATTATAATAATAATAATAACCTACCGTCCAGATTTTTTTCACCTACCGTCCAGATTTGCTTCTTTCAACCTCAACCGGAACGCTCTATATTGTTGAACTTACAGTTGGCTTCGAATCAAATCTTCAAAAAAACGTTGAGCGTAAAAAATCAAAATATAAAGAATTAATTAGGGAACAAAATGAACATTTCAACTCAGTAAAATTTGTAAATCTTTCGATTAGTTCTCTTGGTGTTTTCAGTAAAGAATGTTCTACTTTCATAGAAATGCTTAATGATTTTGGTTTTCAAAAGCAACATCAGAATTACTGTATTAAAAGAATGACGACGATTGCAATCCGAACAACATATTATATATTTTGTTGTCGAAACAAGGAATGGACGAATCCGGAACTGTTAAGTGTTTAAACGTTGTACTGTTATTTTGTTATCTTAATAGTATAATATTGCATATATAATCAGTGATTTAAGTAGCCAGTTGTAAATTACCTGATACAAGTGAGATTTGCAATTGTATATATAAGCTAAATATCCATTTAATAAAGTTTTCATTATTATTATTATTATTATTATTATTATTATTATTATTATTATTATTATTATTATTATTATTATTATTATTATTATTATTATTATTATTATACACTAAGTAACGTTTTTCTAACCCGTAATAAGTTTGGTCTAAATATCCTCCCTGCATCAGTCAAATTCATTCAGTGTCAAACAGTTCTACGCAATGCCCTGAAAACATCTCCAAACGATTCAATAAACGAACTGTGGAAGTCAACTAATAATCATACTAACATTCAATACGATAGCTACAACTCAACTAAAGAAGCTTTAAAAACTTTCCATTCTCAACAAGAAAATAAACTTAGGAACCGTTTGAAATGTCAAGGTTCCTTTTTCGAAAATGTTTCTAAATTCGCGCTATCACAACTTAACGCAATCTGGTCGGTATCGCAATCAAAGCTACCAAAGAACATTTTCAACTTTACAATTCGCTATATAAATAATACCCTTCCTACCCGAAAGAACGTCAGTAGATGCGGAATTTCATCAAGTTCTGACTGCTCGTTCTGCTTACACCCTGAATCACTTCTACACATTGTTGCCGGTTGTCAACATTACCTGGAACGATTTACTTGGAGACACGATTGCATACTAAACTTTCTTGCAAAAACTTTTCAAAGTTTAAACGAATGCAAATTACATGTTGATCTTCTTGGATTTGAAAGCCCCTCGATTATTACGGGAGATGAATATCGTCCTGATTTACTTGTCTCCACTTCAGACAAACATCTCTACGTCGTTGAACTTACCGTAGGCTTTGAATCAAACCTCACAAACAATGTTAACCGCAAGAAAGCTAAATATAAAAACCTAATTAGAGAACTGGATCAAAACTTTACATCTGTCAAATTTATAAATCTTTGTGTCAGTTCGCTAGGAGTGTTTGACAAAGAATGTCATACATTCGTAAAAATGCTAAATGAGTTAGGACTGGATAATCAACACCAACAATATTGTATCAGAAAAATTATATCTATTGCCATCCGATCAACGTACTACATATTTTGCTGTAAAAATAAAGAATGGACAAATCCCGAACTAATGAACATTTAAAGTAACTATTTCTGTAAATAAGTAGTAATTTTTGTATATAAAATTATAACCATGCACGTATAAGTGATTCAAGTAGTCAATTGTAGGTTACCTCAAGAAGTGAGATTTACAATTGTATATATCTATAAATATTCTATTAATAAAGTTTTCATTATTATTATTATTATTATTATTATTATTATTATTATTATTATTATTATTATTATTATTATTATTATTATTATTATTATTATTATTATTATTATTATTATTATTACATTGGGGTTGGCATAAACTGCATTTATTTTAAACTTTTTGTGATAGATTTATCAACTTTTACTTGCTCTTTGGAAACCTGAATGCTTTTTCAATTTTGATGCTCAATTAAGAAAGGAAAATTTTGTGTATTGGAGAAGATGGTGTTTTAGTCAGCTATTGGGTCAATTTCAAGAAATATTTATTATACACGATGTCGCGACAGCAGCGATCGAAATTAAAATGGATACAGATCTGCTAGAATGTAAGAAGAAAGCGATGGAATTCCTTAAATCGGAAAACCCGCCATGCTATGTGAACGGCAGAAAGAAAGGCTATATACAAGTTATGAAAGATCTGTGGGACAAGAAAGGATACGAACATCTTGGATTGAAGAGCCAAAACCTGCGAGATCAAGCCGCTAGGCTTGAGAAAATTAACGCTACAGCTGAGACTCGTGCTATCGGTAAGGTAAGCGGCGGAGCGGTTATCGATGACGAAAGAGAGCAGACATTTATTTATTTATTTATTATCTTTACAACCATACATAAAATAGACTAAAAAACTACATAATATGGTTGAAGGTATGGTCAACAGGATGAAAACAGGTCACAGGATACAGGTCACATTAGATGAAAACCAGAGAAGGCACAACACGATTTCACAACATGAATTTAACAATTTTGAAAATCAAAACACCATTAGTCAAAATGCAAATTTGGAGGTAAACAGCAATCTGGATTTGCATACAGACAATGATATTGTCCAAAACAGTCACGAACGGCAAGAAACCGAAGCTGTAAAGGGCTTTGAAGTGACCAATGACTGTCCTGGTGAACCACACGCCGGCAGCCGCATACATGAAGCAGGACGTCTACCCAACTATGTTGCTGTTGATATACCATCGATTACCATCTGGGGACGCAGAGCGGACGGCTCAATAATTGCGGTCAACTCGTCAACCATAATTAATGCGTACGATGAAATTACGCGATGGCGTAAAAATACTTTTCTCGTCCCGTATGGCAAAGTTGGGCGAGACTTTAGTGAGCTTAAGCAAGTGACGTTTTTGACAACACGGACGTCGACCGGAAGTAAAGTTGACGTTTTTCACCAATAACAGCCCTTGACCCAGTCTCCTGACGTTACTCATGCCGTACGTGTTGTCAAAAACGTCACTTGCTTAAGCTCACTTTTATCGACCAGCTAACACAACATATAAACGATTGGAACAACGCATCGCAAACACAACACATAGCGCTGAAAGCTGCAATTGTTCTCTTGGCAACGGCACTGCAAAAGCCAAGCGTAAAATCGAAGGCAAAAGATCACAAAGAGTGCTTGGAAAAACGACTAGCGCTATGGAAAGAAGGAGAAGTCGAGAGCTTACTTCGTGAAGGCCGGTCCATTCAAAAGCGTGTAGCAAAGGCTAAAAGGACGGAGCCTCCAAATAAAGCGAAGATATTCGCCAAGTTGGTCATGGAAGGTCAGATCAATTCTGCTTTGAGATATCTCAGTGAGGCTGATTGTGATGTAGTGTTGCCTTTGACTGACAACGTGATGAGACAGCTTCAGGAGAAACACCCTAAAGCACAAGAGGCCAAACTTGGCTCGTTACTCTTCGGGCCATTTGAGGAAGTGCACGGCCCTTCAGGAGCGGATGCAAATGGACTCAAGCGTATTTTCGCATGTAAATCGTTTAAGAAATCAGGCGTAAACTTTTGTGAGGCAGTAGCAACAATGACCCGGCGGATATGTACGGAATACATTGACCCGAGTACTATCGAGCCTATATTAGCCAACAGGCTTATACCTCTTGACAAAGGCGAGGGCGCGGTTCGTCCAATTGGCGTCGGGGAAGTTATCAGGAGGATTGTCGGGAAATGTGTTATGAAAGTGATTAAGCCCGATGTGATTGATGCCAGTGGATCGCTACAGGTGTGCGCAGGTCTTAACAGCGGAAGTGAGGCAGCCGTTCATGCGATGCACTCCATATTTGAAGCAGACGAGACAGATGCTGTACTTCTGATTGATGCCTCAAACGCATTCAACGCACTCAATCGAGCGGCTGCACTCCACAACATAACAGTTCTGTGTCCATCTATGTCAACCTACGCAATTAACACCTATCGCGAACCAGCTAAACTATTTATATCTGGTGGAGAAGAGCTCAAGTCCACCGAGGGTACCACACAAGGGGATCCCCTGGCCATGGGGATGTATGCCATCAGTCTTCAACCCCTGATCACCGGATTGAATGTGTCAAGCAATGTTAAGCAATGTTGGTTTGCTGACGACGCGAGTGGCGCGGGATTCCTGGAAGATATCAAGCGATGGTGGGAACACCTGAATAAAGCTGGCCCTAATTTGGGATACTTTCCAAATGCTAAGAAATTCTGGCTGATCATATAGCCTGGAAAAGAAGAAAGTGTTCATGCTATATTTGATGGGACAGCGATCAATATATCTGCGCAGGGGCAAAAGCATTTGGCCGCAGCCTTGGGTTCTATGGCTTTCCTGGAAGAATACGTCAACGGCAAGGTAGAGGACTGGGTTAGCCAAATCGTCAAGCTAGCTGAATTCGCAGCGTCACACCCACAAGCCTGCTATGCCGCCTTCACCTTTGGCCTCCGCCATCGATGGACATATTTTCTTAGAACACTTCCAGATATAGAATATTTACTGGAGCCCTTGGAGCGTGCTATTGCTGATGTCCTGATACCATCAATTACGGATCATCACTGTACAAAGAGTGAAAGGGATCTCCTGGCACTCCCAGTACGAATGGGCGGTCTTGGCCTTATAAATCCTAGACAGGATGCAGCACTGCAGTACGAAACGTCGATAAAGACCACAGCGCCACTGGTAGAGAAAATTATCGCACAAGCCTACGAAATTCCAGATGACTCTGTTATTCACACACTGCAGCAGAATGCGCGAAATGAAAAGAACGAAGTACTTCAGGCTAAACGGGATGGTATTAAGAACTCTCTACCTCCGAAAACACGGCGTGCTATGGAACTAGCAACTGAAAAAGGTGCATCCAACTGGCTAACAGTTATCCCCATTAAGGAAATGGACTACAATCTGAACAAGGGTGAGTTTCGAGACGCAGTAAATCTGAGATATGAGTGGAAAATTGCTGATAAGCCATCGATTAGTATGCGTGTGTGGCGATACTTTCAATATTGATCACGCAATGATCTGCAAGCGAGGTGCGTTCATCATACAGCGCCACAACGAGCTGCGGGATCTTGAGGCTGATATGCTTAACATCGTCTGTAATGATGTCGAGGTTGAACCCGTTCTTCAAGAGTTAACTGGCAAGGTTTTACCAAGAGAAGCAAATACAGCATCCGACGCTCGCCTAGATATCCACGCTCGAGGGTTTTGGGAGAAACAAAGGTCCGCGTTCTTTGACGTTAGGGTTTGTCACCCCAACGCGGAATCCTACAAAGACCTGAGCCCTCAACAGATATACAGGCAACATGAAATCGAGAAGAAGAGGATGTATGCCCAAAGAGTGATGGAGATAGAACACGGAACTTTTACACCATTAGTATTTACAACGACTGGAGGCATGAGTGAAGAGTGCAAGAGGTATCATAGCAGATTGACCGAGCTCATAGCAGCGAACAAACGCGAAGACTTCTCTACGACCATGTCCTGGATACGAGCCAAGGTCTCCTTTGCCATCTTGCGGTCAGCTCTACTTTGTCTCAGAGGGACTAGAGCACCCAGGAGGATAACAACGAACGTTCAAGAAACGGACTTCGAAGTAGACAATTCTCGTGCCAAAATTTAGGCTTAGACTTTTACCATAAATTCTTACTATAACATATACTATAACATACTACAACAATTTAGACTCACTTCCTTGTATATACTTGTAATTAGTTATTAATGTAGTGGATCATTTTATAAATAAATTATTATTATTATACTAATAATAGTGGAAACTTTATTACTTTCAATAATATATATATATATATATATATATATATATATATATATATATATATATATATATATATATATATATATATATATATATATATATATATATACAATCATGGAAATTAATTCGTAGACTTTTCAAAAATTTCTCAATTTCCCCCCTCCCCGTTTACAATGTTGGTTTGTGGTCGAATAACCATGGTTTGAACCAACATTGTGGTAGGGGGGGGGGGGGAGTTACTATTTCTAGCGATCATGGACGTTTGTATTAACTAAAAATAAAATGGCTTTACAAAATAGTAAGACAAGATGCGTTTTAAAAAAGTCTACGGATATTATTTCCATGATTGTCTAAATTTAAAGACAAAAATCGCGCGGGGATATTTGTAGAAGCGGTGTATAAATCCTCATTAAAGCTCTACGGCATGGCAGATTCTATATGTTATATTGAATATTTATGAGTTTACTTTTCAACAGATCATAGTACAGAAAGATAATCAAGAAACTTACATCATACACTGTCTGCTTTTACTTCAACGGAAAATCTCTTCAAATAATGTAATAGTTCATTGGGTAATAAAGACTCTTTCAAGCATATACCCAGGAATTTAATATATGATCCACTGCTGCATACAATTAGCCTGTATTTACAAAACGTAATTCTGCGTATTGACTGATGTAAATAATATTTGAAAGTTAATAATTAAATAACTAACGCATTAATTAATAACTAATGCATTGTCGTCTATTTTATGAGGGAGATTCAAATTTTTGTCCGTCAACCGAAATGT